AATTTTTATAAAATAATAATTATCAAAATAAATAAATAAATAAAATAAAAATAAAAGTAATAATAATAAAAACAATCACTTCCAAAAAGAACAAAAATCTGTCATCATTTCTTTTCCTTTTTCTTTTTTTGTTTCGGTTTCCTTTTTTTTTGTTTCTGCCCTTTTTGTTTTTTTTTTTTTGTTTCTCTTTTATAGTTTTCCTTTTTCTGCACTGTTTCCTCCCCTACTCTCTTTTCGCCTCTCGCCTCTGCTTGCTTTTCTTTCTAATTTTTTTAAACCCAACCATCAAGAAAGTTCCTTTTACTTTTTTTTTTTCTTTTACCTGATGCATCTAATATCTCCGAAAACAAAAGCTTTATGGGTAAACAAAACAAAAACAAACAAAATAGACTCTCCCAAAAAGATTCTGCATATTCCCAACAATTAATATAACTTGATCTATAAACTTTTTCTTTTTCGATCAAGATTAATTTCAGCAAACATAGAAGAAAACGGCTTAAAAGGGGAATCAAGCAATCACCAAAAGCAAAAGGAAAGGAGAAAGAACAGAATACAATAGGAAGGCAATGCAGAAGAAAAGAAGAAAAAAAAAATTAAGAATGATGCACACCTGCAGAAAATAGAAAAAATCAAGACTTTACTTCTTGAATTGCAAGTACAACTTTCTGATTTGCCTTTCTCACTCTCGATCTCTCCAATATTCCTTCCGGGCTTCACCAATTTTCTTCCCTTCTCTCGATTTGTTTCCCCAATTTTCCCCCAATTTTCCCCCAATTTTCGACCTCTCCTCTCAAAGCCGAAGCTTCCCCTTTTATACAGAAACAGGGAGAACCCAAACCCTTTTCTAATTCTAAATTCTTATCTCAATTCCTAAAATTACAGATAATAATCTAACCCTATTAGAATTTGAAATTCTAAAACTAATCTAGTTCTTTACACATCTTCCCTCTTTTAAGGCTAGATTCATACCTTTAAAATATCAAGACTCCCAATTTGAATAGACTTCGAAAACTTCCTCTACGACTCTTGATAATGGCTTCAAATCCGAAAATCTCTTCTTGTGTTGTTGTGATCTATCTAAACTTCGAGTGGATTTGTAGATAAATCAAAAGAATTTGGGAATTTCGGGAGAGTGCCTCATGGCAAGAAGAAGAACCGTGAAAGTGAGGGACTTGCGTTCATCTGAACCCTAGCCCCCCCCTTTTTATTTTTTAGCCTTCAAGCAAAACGACGTAGTTTTGCAATCTCTTCCCCTCAGCCTTTTAAGTTTCATGCTTTTATAAAAATAGTCCACTGACTTTTACTTTTATCATTTAACCCCAATTAAAATTGGGTTATGACAGTGAGGACGTGTGGTTTATCCAAAATTAACTAAGGTTTAGAATCCCAAAACTTTGAGACAGTGTCTACAATGCAAAAAGGGTAGTAGAGAGACATTGATAGCAAATTGAAGGCTCGGGAGGCAAGGCAGCCGCTTTAGTGAGGAGAAAATCAGTGTGGGTTTGTAAAGATAAAGGAAGCACTTCTAATCATAGTTCTCCAAAAAAGAAAGAATCACCGAAAAGTCTAGCCTCACCTTAAGTTTTGACTGTTAAAGGCGATATTTGGTGTTCCAAATAAAGTGAAAAGTTCATAAGATGTAATTTACTTTGGTGAGTTTTTCATGAATCTATTTTGTTTGGTGTTTACTCTCCCTTTCAAGCCAAGGAATAAACAAAATCTATAGTTTATCAGTAGACAGATCAAACTAAGGAAAAAGGGATCATTGAAATCCCAACTGAGGAAGATGAAGGTGGGTTTCTGTTGACAAGATCATTTTTGAGAAGCTAGAAGAGAGGATGGCCAGACATATGAGACCATTACATATTCATGCATATCTAAACAATATGCCAATAAATCAAGTTCTAGTGGCTAATGGAGCTGCTGTTAATGTTTGCCAACTTGTATGTTGCACAAAATTGGCAAATCTTTAGGTGATTTAATGGAGACAGAAATGATAATTAATGACTTCACTGGTGGAGTGAATCGCTCAATGGGAACTCTATCAGCATAACTCACTATGGGAATTAAAGCTCTAATGTGTGCGATTTTTGTGGTTAACACTATAGCCACTTATAATGTATTACTTGGGCGAGATTGGACATATTCCAGCTAGTGTGTTCCTTCAACTTTGCTTCAGAAATTAATATTTTGGAATAGTGGCAGAACTGAAGTTGTGACAACAATGATAGGCCTTTTGTGGCTAACACTAATGTAGTGGAAGCTTATTGCTATGATGAAGTTATTGGGACTATGGGATGGACCGTTATGGCAAACTTTATGGGATTACTGTTTGCATTAGATTAACACTTGATAGACAAATAGTAAAGGAGGTTTGTGATGAACTTTTTCGGCCTATAGTATTTGTTTATTTTAGGCTGAGGAAAGAGCTTGAAATTGAAGAAATTCTATGAAGAAAGACTGCATTAAGCACTAGAAAAATGAGGCCATGGAGGAAATCAAAAGGAAACTAGCAACCTACTTTATAGAAAATTGGGTCTATGTAGACAAATCTAAGGTGGTTTATGAGGGTGAAGAGGAAGACTTAAACCATCAAATAACTTTGGAAGAATTAAACTTGGCACTAACAAAACTTGATGATATGAAAGCGAAGGTACAAGATTCGCTGAAAGAGGTAAATCTGAGTGCCAAGGTAGATCCACATATTACATTCATTAGTGGTTCCCTTGAGTTGTGTTTGCGTGACAAAGTTATCAATATTTTGCATGAAAATAAGGATTGTTTTCCTAGGATTATTCTAAAATGCCAAGTCTGAACAAAAAATTGGTGAAGCAAAGGTTACCAATTAGAGAAAATAGCAAATATGCTAAAATCACTTTATCAAGTGTCCTGTTGCTCCAAGTAATATTATAATATGTCAAAATTTTCTGAAATTTTAGAAGTTAAGTTAGGGACTTATGTGGTAGAAGTTATTATTACCGAGCCTAATAGTTAAAATTCACAAACCTGAAGGGGTAAAAAGTGAAATCTGGTGATAAAAATGGGTTAAGGCTGATCTACTTTTCTCCTTGCTCATTTCTGTGTGTTTCCCCTAGCTCCTCACTCGAAGCCCTACAGCCACAAGCCCTAAGTTGCCCCAACACCTCATCATCATGAGAAATAGGTAAAAACTTAGCTTTTCTTCCTTCTCCTAGCAAGGGTTTGAGATTCATGAGTTTATGGTTCTTAAAATGATGGTCAAAACCCAGATCTTGCTGCTGCTTCACCAATTTTCTTGTCCATGTTGGGTTCTTGTGCAATGTAAGGGGAGATCACAATTTGTCTAGCACTTTCCAATAAGAAATCAGCCACATTGCTCATCTTTTCATATTTGATTTGAATTGGGTTAACTCTAAGCCTTTAGGGTTTTCAATTTTGGGATTTTTCTGTAGTTCTTTCTTGATTTTGTCCATAATCTAGCCCCACCAGAAATTGATCCCTTTTTTGTTGGAAATTCTGGCAGCATGATCATGCAATAATTTTTTTCCCATAACTCTTTTTGTAGATATCGGATTGAGTTCCTTCTTGATTCTATGGAAAGTTAAGAGATAGCCCTACAATCTTTCTATTGGACATTTAACCTAGTTAAGCTGTTTTCAAGGTGAAAACTCTACTACAAGTTCGGTTCCCGCAGATGAACAAAATTGGCAACTTGACTTTATGTTAGTATTTTGACCATAACTTTTTCTGTAGATGTTAGATTATAGTAATTATTGATCCTATGGAACTCTGAGACATAGGATTATAATTTATCTATTAACCATTCAACCTAAATTGGTCAATTTCTGGGCGCGAATTCTATTGAAACTTCTGGTTTAAAATCTAATTAGCACTTTCCCATAAATATTTGCTGTCATATCGCATCATGGTTTTAGTATACTTTTAGCTGTTGTTTTCCTACTTTGAAACCCATTGCTATTGCTTTATTTTGGCTGCTTTTTTGATTAAATGTTGTCCATTTCAACCTAGTTTTGGCTTGTATTTTATCTTGTTTTGTTGCTATCTTTTTTGCCTAGAAAATCCCTATTGTTCAGGGCTTTTTCCAAGCATTTTGAGACTACTTTAAATGGTAGAAATCCTCACCTGGCTGGCCAATATTTCTATTGGTGTCTAAGATGGTTTTGAGCACAATTTCTCACTTCTTTTTTTTTCATCTTATTTTACCCAGAAAATCTGTTTGAAAAACTTGCCGTTTAGTGTGACATTTGGAGTTGTTTTAAACGTATTCTATGTATTCATTTGATGTGGTGTAGGTTTTAAATCACCTCAACAGCCTTGAGTTCTTGAATTCTTGCTAGTTGTCTACTTACATAGTGAGGTAAGTAAAATTGTGGTAAATACCCTTAGATTTTAAGTTAAGGTTTTAAAAATATATTTTGAATTGTTTTTGAGATGGCAATAGGACTTAAATTGATTTTTTGTTAGCACATAAGCATGACTAGTTTGAAATGAAGTTATTGTCTTTATTGAATTAAGCATGTTTACATGGAGTTTGCTTGTTTGTTATAGAAATCTGAAATTGGTTTGTAAGCTATAAATTTTTCTTATTAACTCCTGTATATTTGTAAATTATGGATTTTTTTGTTGAACTCCTGCATGGTTATCTCCAATATGGTAATGATTCCTGAAGCTTGCCAGTGGGAGTTGTAAACACTGGTACATGTTGACATGTACTCTTGGAAACCGATTTATTCATGTTATTCCTGTCAGTGGGATAGTACACTAGTTATTCCTAACAGCTGCCAATGGGAATTTGTTAAACACTGGTTATGACTAATTGAGGAAATCATTATTGAGTTTTACTCTATATTAATGGTTTATATTTGAGGTTTTTTCTATGGTTTATATTTAAAATTTTTTATCTAGCATGCTTTAACTTTGAAATAAGGGTTACCCATATTTTTACTTACTTAGTTATCTTATATAGTTTTTCGTCGTCCATCATTTCAAGTAGTGAGAGTAGGGATGTGAGAAACCAAGAGGAGTGACGAGCTAGAAGGCTAGCAACTTATATTTTGGATTTAGTTCATTTTGGAGATAGGCCTGCTAGGTTAGATTTCCCTTGGGGATAGCATGCCTTTATTGATGAAGTTGTATAATTTTTGTGCACTTTGGCATGTTAAACTTTGGTTATTGAAAGTTGGATTTTATTTCAAGATTTGGATTTTAGTCAGTGGACTGCTAAATTGAATTAAGTAGGTTTCAAGTCCTGTGTATTTGTGTGATCCTCTCACAAGTGTACGACATCTGTCTCGCTCCCAGTTTTAGGGCGTGACAAATATAATGATAAGTAGAGTGTCGAACCCACAAGGATTGTAATTAACTACATATCAAAAATAATTAATTTAAATTTATTTGAACAATATAAAAAGAATAAACTTTAATTAAAAATAATAAAAAGAAAATAACAATTAAAATAAAATTAATCAATATATGAGTTATTAAGGCATCGATTTCACTATAAATCAATCAATATAAAATCTAAATTAATATACTTTTAAAATCAATTTTTTGAGTGTTATTGCATGTAATGTCGGATTTCCCTAAATTAACTAATTAACTTTCTCTAGTCAAGTTAATCTTTTATTTGTTTGTTAAATTAATCATATCTCTGTACAATTTTAAACAAACTAATGAGTATTAAATTCTAAGGAAACCTCTACCTTAAGAAGGGAGAGCTCATAACTATTTTCTCTTCCTCCACTACCACATATGATGCTAATTACCTCTCAGTCTGATAGTTTAGCACACAGTTTATATTGTTATTGGTTTAATTTATGTAATTCCTTCTCAAACTCATGCATAAATCACTAAATCAATTGAAAAGCGATCAGGTTTTCAATGCATTAAGTTTAATAATATAAACTCATCATGCGAATAACTTTAATTTAAAGTATAAAAATCACAAAATCTATATTAAATTGATTAGGTTACATCGTAACCCTAATAGAATAAATTAGTTCATAATAAAGGTAATAAAACTTGAAATCATTATTATGAACATAAGAACATCTAGGTGTCATAACCCAATTTTAATTGGGGCTAAATGATAAAAGTAAAAGTCAATGGACTATTTTTATAGAAGCATGAAACTTAAAGGGCTAAGGTGAAGAATTAGCAAAATGACGTTGTTTTACATGTAGTTTTCTTTACTCTACCATTAGCCTTTCTCAAAGCAGAAAAAATCACAAAATTTTCTTGGCTTATCCCTAAATCTACTTAAGTTTTAAAGAAATTTTTAGATATTAAAAGTCATCAACAAGAGGCGCAAAAGAAGAGTTCGAAATTGATTTAAAGAGGAGAGTTCTAAGCATAAAAGGAATGAATCTAGACTAGAAAAGGGATAGATGTGGGAAAAACTAAGAAATCCCATTTCAATTAGGATTGGGTTGTTATCTTTGGGATTTGGATTGGATATTAGAAGCACATTAGGATTGGGTTTTTCTCTTTGTTTATAAAAAGGGAGCCTTTTGTTTTAGGGGGCATTTGAAAGAATTGAGGGAGGGGGGAAGAGAAAACCAAAGAAAAAATTGGCGAGCTCGAAAAAAAAAAAGGGTGAATGAAGACAAAAACAGAGGGAGAGAAAAAGGCCTTGTATTTTGAAGTTTTCTGCAAATAAAAAAATTGGATTTTGACTATAGGTTTTTTTTTATTTTTCTTTTCTTTCTTTAATTTGAATGTCATAAAGTTGCAGTTAAGAATTTTGTTTCCTTTTTGGTTGATATTCATGTTTTGTTTTTCCTACAAATCATTTTTTTTTTTTAATGGTTGTCGTGATTTGGTGATTTCCCCGATTATGAATTGTGTTAAATGGGAAATCTGAAATCTAGTTAACATGAGGAACTTGGGAATTAACCAAGGCACTTGGGATCGCGACGAACCAAGGCACTTGGGATCGCGACGAACCTAGGCACCTGGGTTGGCTTATGTAATTAAATGATTTTTAAGGTTATATTAGACAAAAAATTTGGCCATGTCATCAATTTTTGTGAGATGAATTTTCCATGTAATTTAAGTAAAAAAAATCAGTTTTTTTTCATTAATTAATTTGCCACATCAACTAAAACTTAACAAGGGGACTAAAAAGTGGTCAAATTTCAAAATTTAAGGACCAAAAAAGGGATTTTTTTCAGTATAAGGACTAAAAAGGGACTTTTTCCTATATTAGGGAGACCAAAAAGTGTATTTAACCAAAAACTAATCTTCTTAATTGGTCCAGTGGAAGATAAGAATGGGAACATAATATGGGTGGTACAATTGGTTGTTGGCCATTCAGCTTTAAAGAGCCTATAAAGATATCAAGAAAAAATCATCTTGCTGGCACTATGAAGAAAAAGGCAATGTTATCAGTTACCAATGATGCCTACAGGTCCTTTTTAATTAATAATGTAATTCTTGCAATTAGGGTGAAATGGTTGAGACAAATACTGGGGAATACAATTTGTATTTAACAAGATAATGCCAAACCCCATATACATAGGAAAGATGGGGAATTTTTAGAAGCTTCAAGGATGGATGGTTTTGAGTGTCAACCTCCAAATTCTCTTGATTTGAACATTTTGGATCTAGGGTTCTATAATACCTCAAATTTTGAGCACCTAAATTCTCAAAAAGGCTCACATGGAACAATTAATTGTTAAGTATGATTATAATAATAAATCAATTAATTAAATAGGAAGGAAATGACTTAATCAAAAGGAGATTTTAATAGAGGACCAAGTTGTTTAACTCTTCAACCTTGAGGATGTTAGTAGTAAAAAGAAAGAAAGAAAGAAAAAAGAGTGAGGGACAAACAAAATAAATGGAAGGGAAACCGAATTCCCTTATCTAGTTTTCCTCTTCTCGTATATTATAATCCCCAAAAACCCATGAAGTTGTGAACCTTCTAGACTCTTTACGATACTTCTTCTTTTAATCAAGATTGCTGCCATTCATTCTTCCTTTCTTGTTCGTGATTAACTGCTCAGTGGGTGTTAGGTTAACTTTAATCTTGCTAGTAAGAAAAATAGCCACAATTCACCTTTCCATCCTTAATTGAGTTAGGTTAACTTTAATCTTTTGCTACCTTTGATTCTGGGGTAGTTTCCTCTAGTTTTTTCCTTCAATTTTACCAACCACATGATTAGCATCACTTATCCCCTTTATTGGAAATTTCAATTTGTAGTAACTGTTCCAAGACTCGATTTCCCTTTTTTTCTCTTTTAAGAATGAATTTGCACCTAGAGTTTCCACTCACAAATCAAGATTTTAGGAAAATTTCAAAGCTTGCTACTCCTTCATCTTTCCTCTTTTATCTATGATTTCTCACTATTTTTGTGTGCATCTTTGTTATTTTGGGTTTGGTCCTACCTTTGTTTTGGGTGTGTTGGAATAAGCTACTTCTCTTGTCATTTGCTTATTCTTCCACTAGTTACTCCCATAAAATTATTGAAATTCCCTGTTGTTTTGGTGAGTTAGCCTCCTTTTAATTTAATCATGAGTGCTAATTTCTTTGCTAAGATTCCATTATAACTTGCCTTGGAATCTACCGTTCTTGTTGCATGAATTTTCTACTGCAATTATTTTAACTTTTGTTGAATTAGGCAATCTTAAATGAGTTTTAAATTACTGATTTGGTTCAAAAGTAAGTACTGTTCTGGGTGCCATTTTGAAAGGTTTTAAGGGCTATTTTATGCAAGAATGTTTTGTTATTTTGGTACATGCCTACTGTTGTCCACTGTTTTGATTATCTTTTAGTTGTTGTTTTTCTACTTTAAAATCATTGTTACTATTCTAATTTGTGGTTGCAAATATGCTCTGTTATGCTTGGTTAAACCATTGAAAACCTATCATGTTTTTGTGTCATTTTGCTAGAAAGTTTTGCACAGAATTGTCCTAATTTTTAATTACATTTAGTTACTGCTTTCTTCACCTTTTTTACAAAGTTTCTACATTATTTTTATTGTTGTCTTTGCCCAAAAAATCTTTGTTGTTCAGGGTGTTTTTTGAACATTTTGAGACTATTTTAAATGGCAAAAACCCCACCTTGCTGCCCAACTTTTTCTGCTATTGTTTAGGGTTGTTTCAAGCTTGGTTTCTCACTAATTCCACTCCACACTTTATTTTGCCTAAGTAACATGTTTGGAATACCTATTATTTAGAGTGACACTTGGAAATATTTTAAGCATGTTTCTTCCCTATTTAGCTGCTACAAAATTCTAGTTTCTTGTCTCTGTTTCCTTTCACAATTAGGTAAATGTTTAGGTTCTACTATAGTAGAAAGTTTGGGTAACTAATTGATGAGTATGTGGAGTATTGTGGAATCAAGGTTGTTGAATATTTTTGTTGAGTCCAAGTAAGAAGTTTGAAATTTGGAAGAATCATAGAATTAGGAAATTTTCTTGAAGAATTAGAAGGTTAGCTTGACTCAATTTGTAATAAAGTTTCTTTCATGAAATCTTTGTTAGGTTTTTTGAGTGGCCTTCACATATGCGCTCTAGAATTTTGATTGCTAGGATCTGAGAAAATTTTGGTTTTTGTCATGCAAATTATTAGTCTTGATCTTGTCTTTAAAGTGGCAATTTGGGACTAATAAAAATTTAGGTAAGAGTCATGGGTTTGAACTTCCAAACCTTACTATGCTATGTGTTTTATTTAAGATGTTATGTTAATTTTGCTATAAAAATCTGATTACAAGTTGTTCGTACCATTGCTCTTTATACCTTGTTGAGCCTCTACTTCTCTAATTGTTTTCATACCAGGAAGTATATGTTTCTATAGTTTAAATTTGCATTATTGACTGCTCATGCCATTTGCACACTTAAAATTATGCTTAACACAACCTTAAGTAGCCTTGAATTTCACTTATAAGTAGCAACTATTCTAAGCTTGGTTTCCAATATATTTAGTTATTGCTTTTATTGGATTGAAACGCTATTGGTGAGATATGAAGCCAAAAGAATTAGCTCTAATGTGCCTAGGTTGGTACACTTAGGTAATCTAAATAAAATAAAGAAAAATGTTTGATTTTGATCTGAACTGATAGCTTGACCTAGTGATAGTAATCTAGCCATAACTTCCTCTATAGATAGATTGAGGTGATTCTTAATCCTATAAAAGGCTAAGACATAGGACTACAGTTGATCTATTAACCATTCAGGCCAGTTTAGTTGATTTCTTGGTGCAAATTCAGTTGTACGTTTTGGTTTAGCATCTGACCAAAACTTGCCTACAAGTTCTTACTAATTTGGTGTCTAGTTTTGCAATCCTTGTCTCTATTCTTTGTCTTTACTCTCTAGTTCATAAATATTTTTTATATTTGAATTCTTGGTGCTTGAGGAATCTTAATTCTCCACAAAGAGAGGTAAGTAAATTTTCGATGTTCTAATGGTTCTAAACTATGGCTTTAAAAGCATATTTTTGAACTATTTGGAGAAATGGTAAGACCTAACCTGATTTATGTTGATATCAGCATGGCATGCTTTGATATTAAGTTTATAATTGTTATTTATCGAAGCTTGAGCATGCCTTTTTCATGAGATATACTTATTAAAACAATCTGAATTATGTTCCTTGTTCAAATGCCTACATTGTTTTATCTCTAATTCTATCATGATTCCTGTTATCCTGCCAATGGAAGTGTAAACATTGGTTATTCCTATTTTCTTGTTAGTGGGAGTGTAAACACTAGACATTGTTGTCATCCTACCAGTGGAAGTGGAAATACTGGTTATTCCTATTATCCTGCTAGTGGGAGCATAAATAATAGTCATGACTAATTGAAGAGACTACTAAAAGATTTTATTATTATTATTATTATGCATTATTAGATTGAAACTAAAAGCACTATTTTGATGTTTTGTACCCATCATGCCTTCTTTTAAATTAAATTGTGGCTTCCCCTAATTTACTAAGATTTATCTCACGTGCTAGTTGGCTAGTTTTCTTATTAATGGATTGAGACTAAATTGTAATTTTATATATAAGTTAACTTGGTTAGATTTGATTCCAATTTTTTTTTAATTATGTAAGTTATTTTATTTTTATAATAGATTTTAGTGGACTATTAGAAGGTATGGTTTGTTGCATGATATATTAAACAAGTACTAAGCCTTGTACACTTATGGGACCCACTTATAGTTGTATGGCATCTGTTTCACTCTTGCTTTTGGGGTGTGACAAGTTCTTTGCTGCCATTCAATCCTTATAGCAGGAAAAAACTCCTAAAATAATAAAAGAACTAATTGATGTTGTTCAAAAGGCATAAGTTGGCTAATCAGGATTTTTGAGGAAACAGCTCCAAAAAGGATAGTCTTCAATTTTTTAACTTTGCAGGGTATCATGATTGAGATTATGAAAGTTCATGCAGAAAACAATTACACTGCACCTTATATAGGAAAATCATGCTTACAGAAACTTAATGTTCTTCTGCAATGACTCTATGTTGATCAAGCACTTGTTGAAAAAGTTGTTGCATTGTTAGGTGGGAAGGATCAATGATTTTTTTTTTTTTTTTGGGTAGTAACTTTGCTTTCAATTCTTAACTATGGTCTTCTAGGTGTAAAATTGATTGAAGCATGGAGTTAAATTTTATTTACTTGTTGAATCAAACAAAGGTGAAAATGTTTGCATTTCCAATGATTCTTGCTCTTTATCATTTGCTTGCAATTCTACAGTTCCTTATCATTTCATGTTGACTATGCATTGACTATCTATAAAAAAATAGTGACAAAAAGCATATACATCCAACAACTTATGTTTAAAGAATGTGGAAAAAATGAGCAAGAGAGTGAGTTCAATCCTCTTTTTTGAACAAATTGAAATGTTATTTATAAATACAAAGTCATACAACATCTACAAAGATACCCAACAGTAGTAATTAGATCACTTCACAAGCTTTTGCACAAGCAAAACTATATAAAAGGTCCCTAACAGAATTTAGACCAAATAGATTGCACCTCTAGTGCTGTGTCCAGCACCAAACCTTGTCCCTTACGATTCCTATTTGACTCACTTTGTTGTCTTTTCTTGTAGAGATCAAGATCAAGCACAAACCATGTATTGTATTATGTCAGTAACAAGAAAATATGGAGAAGAGTACAACCTATGCAAAAAATGTATGGTGCCTAGAGTTGTTGCATCAATTATCAATACTACAAATTGAAAAATCTTAACCTTTCCTTCCAATCCAAATCTATTATGGTAGAAAGAATCTAACTCCTAAGAGCACTTCTCTATATTAGCATCATTCACATAGGATCCCTAGAGCAATCATAACAACTTTTCGAGGAAGACAGAATCACCATCTATATGTTAGAGTAAACTCACATGGAAATCAAACGTTGAAAGCTAGAAATCTTTTACAAATTTTCATAATATTGTATCAAACACCACGGAAAATGGGAAAGAATTAGAACACAATTATGGAGTTGGAGAAAACGAGCTAAGAGAACATGCACAATACTACAATGATGGATTATTTGTAGCCAACAAAGCAGGTAAACAATCCACTAATATATAATGTGATTTTTTTATCAAAAAAAGAATTTATTAGAAGAACAAAGGAGGTACTCCAACACTTTACATCCATTGACAAGTTGACATTGTAGTGATACAATGTAATTTCAATCCAAGGCTGTCTATGCTGATGATCAATAACCCACCTCTCTCTTGAAGCATGCAAGTTATAGAATCAAGCATGAAGATTGCAACAAAAGTCTCCTTGAAAATAGCAGAACTAGTTTGAATGCTTAACAGGAAAATTAAAGCTCTATCTTTTAGCTTTCTACAGCATCAAGAATCATCTCAATTGGACATGCATAGAGAAAGTTATGGCATAAATACTAACATAGGGTCAGGCTACCAGAATAAAAACCAAACTCAACAACAATTTCAACCGCTAATTATAGCAGCTATATTTGCCTAAACACTGCAGAATTTCATTCAAAATTCCAGGCTTAATTTGGTTTAGCAAATTGCTGCAAAGGTTCAGTTGATCAAGTTATCAAATAGGTGATGACAATTAAAAAAGAAGAGGTATTTGATATTGAAAAACTCAAATTGATATTACGTGAAATAAGCAATTAGAAATCAAAATCAAGAATTGAGGACATAAACTCAAAAAAATGCAACTTTCATTTCACAATTGAGTATATATGTTTCAGTGTCCAAAACTTGCAGACATATTTTTCTTACGATTAAGAAGAACTGTCGTGTGTCATCTTAGGAAAAGATTAGGCTAGAAGAGATTGCTTGCTCTCATTCTCCTTTGCACCTGATCAAATTGACTAAGTTTGATGAAGAGGCTCACACATTGGATCGGAAAATTTAGAAAAAATAAAAAAAATCCTCCTCATGGCCTCACTCACCGCTATATATGACACCCACTTTTGTTCCATTGTAAAATCTAATCGGTATTTTGAAGTAGAGAACGGTCAGGGAAGAGAGAGGTGTACCTGTACAAGTATACTGGGGAAGAGATTCCGGAAGTGAATGGATTGAGAAGGGTAAAATAGGAATAAGAGCTTTAAAGGTTTTGTTATGAATGGTAAATGGACAATTAAATTTGAATGCCTTAAATTGAAAAGTAGATTTACTAAAAAATAAATGAAGGGAGTAATAAATTTAGAAACATATCAAAAATTTATGTAGCAAATAATAAAATAAAATAAACCAATTTGACTGAACAAAAATGTTTGAGTTAGAGGTGAAGTTTTAATATTTAATTTGGAAAAAAAAATAAATATTAATAACTAAAATGAATATTTTAAACTAATCTTAGGCATTACAAAGGTAATGATCGAAGATTTTTTTTCCTTTTAGAAAATGACACAGAAATGTTAAACATTTAAAGATTTCCTTTCCAATTTTTTGCTAAAAATATTAGAGATGAACTAAAAGGTCATTTTTATAGTTAATAGATTAACCTTAAAGAGTTGTTACTTCTTATGTCAAAATTTTGTTTTAAATTTAATGGCAAGATTTACAAAAACAAAAAAATATATATTGATAATTATTTTCATAAATATTAAGAGTAATTAGGCAAATAAAAAAATTTAATGATAAAATTCCTAGAATACAAAATTTAAGAACTAATTTGAAAATAATGTGGCTTTGCCACTCGTTTTACCGTAAGTTGAAGAGAATGACAACATGGTAGTGACGCTATGCTAAATTAATTCCAGCATAACTGGGGTGGTTCCTGAAGGAGACTCCAACTCTCCTCTAGGCTAGTGCAAATCTTTCTTTGACATTTAGTGGGTGGGGACTATTACTTGCTTTATGAAGTTTGACATAGCATTTAAGAATGTCTTGTACCTTAGAATGCTCGTAATGATGTTTTTCCTACTTTTCATTGTTTATGCCCCTACAATGATCGGATGATAGTCTCTAAGCTCTTTATACTTAATTATTTATATTTATCATAGGCATAGTTTTGTAACAATATCTAGGGTTGTAGGTGGAAACTTCTCTTGACTTTAGTTGCTTGAATTAGAGATTCATATGTAATATCCCTTCTTTTTAATATTTAATATAATATCTATCTTTTATAAAAAAAAAAATATTTTTAAGAAAAAAGTATTTGTCAGTTAAATTTATATAAATTAAGAGAAAAAAAGGCTTTAAAACTATATTTTTTAATAAAATTCCATTGAAGAAAACTTAAATAACCTATTTTTAAACCAGGAATGAGTTTATTTTGGTCTTTTTTCTTAGTATTTTAATAAAACAATGTAATTTTAAGGTGTTTTTCCTTCTAATTCTTTTGAAATTTGGTTGAGAAACACTAATTTCATTTTTTATTACTGTTTATATGGTATATGAACGTATGTGAAAAGTGCATATTAATCTTGATTTCTAAAATAAATTAAAGTCTTAACCTTAAACTAGGTCATTTTATTTGATTAAAACTTAATTTAAAATTTTAAAATTTATAGTATTAAATGTTGATATTTAGATTTAAAAACTGATTATATTAAAATATATAATCAGTTTCTAAATCTAAGCATTAACATTTAATTAAGTGAATTTTTGAATTTTGTTTTAGGATTTTGGTTTTCAAATATAGGTTAGAACTCTAATTTTTTTAGAGATGAAACTAATACGCACTAACCTCATGAAAGTATTTACTATAAATACATACAAATTAGTTATAATAACAAATATTTTGAGATGGTCAATTACCTAAATAGCATATTGTTAGTCTTCTTTCAATAAAAGTAAGTGATTTTAAGTTTCAGTCACATGATATATTAGTTGAGTGATTTAAGAAATGAAAAAAAGTTAACTTTCTATTATATAATTTAAGATATTAAAAAACAAATAATTTGAGATAAATAAAGTAAAATTTTTTAATTATTGGATCCGAAACAGATCCTCAAAACCAATGTTTTTAAATTCAAACCGGAGGTCAAACTGTTTTGACCTCTGGTTCACAGCTTGACTGGTTTAACTGGTTTAATTGGTAAAACTGTCGGTTCATTAATATAGTATAAATATATTATTTTGCAAAATATTTCACAAGATATCCATTAAGTGTGATGGTAGGTAGTTGTTTTTTTATACCAAAGATCACAAGTTCGAGTATCCTTATGAACAAATTTTAAATAATTATGATTTTAAAAATAGACTAAATATATTATGAAACAAAAAATTGCAAATAAAAGCTTGTGTCTCGAGTGGAAAAGACTATGTTTAATAATGTAGAGAACGGGTGTTCGAATCCCATGGTTGTCATTCATAATTTGATTAGAAGTTTTGAAATTTCTATTAGATAATAAAATTTCAAGCAACCATTGACAAACAGAGTGCATTGTCCTGGTGGCAAAGGGTTGGAATAAACTAAAAGGACTTCAAGTTGCAAGTTCAAGCTTCATGGGAGACAAATTTCTCAAGCTTTTGTTCTCAAGTATTGAACCGTCTGGTCAAACGGTTTCTCAGTTTGAGCGGTTCCAATGGTTCTTACCGGTTTTCAAACGGTTTGAAGAATAAAATCGAACCGTTTATACTACCGGTTCAACCGACCGATCCAGTTCGGTTTTCAAAACCTTACTCAAAACGCTCCGGAGACCATGGGGAAATTCCCCTAGTCTATTGAGGGGTCCATTTAGCCAGCACCTGATTGATACGTGTGAAAAATGCCCCTGCTAAGGGTTCGCATCCCTTAATAACTGGGTAACTTGAAACCTTTTAGGATGGCCTATAAAAGGATGGAGTTGAACTTTTTTTTTTGGTCTGTCTCTTCAAAAGTTATACTAAAGTGATAACCTTCTTTTTTCTACACCTTACCTCACCCTGCTTCACCAAAGACTCAATTATGAACTCTCTTAAAATAGAGTTAAAGCACTTGAGTTTTAACTACTACAACGTCCCCATAAAAGACGGCTGGACTGGGGCTAAAATTTGCGAACATGCATGCCTTACTGCAGAAGCAAGACTCTACAGTCCACTGTCATTGAACTCAATACAATATTTTCTTGTCATTAAAACTTGTATCTTCTACAGTACATATATTAAGCTAAAAATCGGAGGGTGGTGTTATTGCCACAGCTTCACAGGTTAACACCACAGCTTTTTTAATTAATTGACCATTAACCCGCGCGGAGAAGGTGGTGACTGCTGCAAGTTGGATTCAAATGAGGGGTATAATAGTCAAATAATTAAAAAAAACTGTGGTATTAACAGTAGTGGCTGTGGCAATAACACCACCCAAATCGGATTGGAAACTACTGACATCAGCATGTTCTTTTACTACAATAAACTTCTCAATATGTTGTCGGCTCCTACCCCGATACGCATAATTTCCTTTACGGAACCCATACAAATCTACTAGGGCCAAGTTAAAAATCTGCAGAAATTTAACCCTTTTCATTTCAATTTTAGAAAAATCCTCCAGTTTTGTGTACCGAAGAAAAGACATCCTTCCAACTTTACCAATAAATTGACAAATCTAAATAAATGCATATGACTGGGGCAACTGGAAACACTCAAATCAAGCAAAGAAGAAAGGGGGTTAAGAATAAAATAATGATCGTCATCCTTTCTATAAAATGAAACTCATGTTTTACACTGAGTGCTGATTGTCTGTAAAGAACTAGAGATAATTAATTACATTTCTGGAAGCAAGGATGAGAATCCACCAAGCTGGATTTTTATGAAAGATACTAATAATTTTAATTGATTAGTAGGGAAAAGCACTATCAGGACACTGCAAATGGTGCAGTGGAACAAAATATTGACAGGAGAAAATAAACATCTAGATGAGATTCAGGAACAACCAAAGCATTTACTGATGGAGAAAAACGTGGACGGTTGTTCTGTGGATGGCTTAGGCTCCGGTTTCTCGCGAGGTAGATGCTTAAAGAATGCTTTTACTGCCCCAGTTACACCGTCCTCCTTCTCCATCGCCTTGGCAAGTTCAACTGCTCGTTCTTTCATCTGACAATGATTATTGGTAAGTTCATTGAGAAATGCATTGCCAGAACAAAATATCTAGAAATTTGCAGGGTTGGGCAGGATCCATTCCAGTTCCAGGGTGAATTTAAAGTAGCAAGCATTTACAAATTTCTCAGAGAAAGGTACTAAACTGGCAAATAGATCTTAAACAAATCAGAAATTCTAGAAAATACCAACATATGGCTACCTCCTTCAGAAGTTCCCTCGTCATATTTTTCTCACAATGCCCAAACATATATAAGGCTGGAAACTCATGCCCAGATATCAAAATTCAAAATTACCTCTGGCTTCAACATGATCTCTATTGCATTAATTAATTTCTGAAGAGAGAATTCCTCAACTGGTATAGATGGAGGCCCCAGTCCTCTGGCATGCACCCGCTCTCCCCAGAAAGGTTGGTCACCAAAGAAAGGTACGATAGTTGTTGGGCACTACATTTGCAAATACATTGAAGGATAAAAAATAAGGTGTGAGGGATCAGCAAAAAACCAAAAGCAATCATAAGGCAAAGAATGCCGGCTTGTAGAACTAAAAGTGTAAAGGTATATTCTTGGTCATTACAGCAGCTTTAAGGCCAGCAGCTGTTGTTCCAGCACCTCCATGATGAACCTGAAAGCATATTGCACAAAACAATAAGATCATTCCATCAAGAAAGAGGGTCAGTGACAGGGCATGGAGGAACCAAGATTGAGGCAAAGAATGAAAATTTCATGTTAGCATCCCTCAGGGATTAAAAAGTTATAATATTGGGGCTCATAATGATAGCAATTTTTCTTGCTGAACGCAGGCTTGTCATCCATCTGAAGTGCAACTAATTTTTACTTTAGGTGACATCTTTTGAAAGAGGCTGTGAAAAACCAGTCCGGACTGGCAGCCACTTTCTCCTTTTTGAAATTCCCATGTTACCTTTATAAAAAATAAAAATAAATAAATAAATAACCCCACTTCAAGCATGCCCAACATACTTGCCTTGCCGGTAATCTTTATACTTCTAGCCATATATCTTTATGAAAAACAGTGCAATTCAGAGTTGAAGAACAAACAATTAATGATCAAATATTGCAGGAAATGCCTCTCTCAAACAAAAAACAGTTCTCTTTCATGGTAGGTAAACTACCAACACCAACAGCATAAAAGAAGCTTCTCTATGACCTGAAAAATAAAAACAAATGTCTTGACTTCTTTCCCTAGTCTGAATTTATGTACTTACCACTGCCTTGCATTGCAAGAACAGCCAATCATGAGGACAGTTGTCCAATAGGTAAACAAAGTCCTTAGGTTCTGCCACTGGAAGGTAAAAAAAGTTAATAGGCACATAAGTGCGCACTAGGTGAACAGAAATTGCTTCTAGATGAGAAATTTGTGAAGAAACATATAAAAGGTATAATAAAATTTTGGAACAACATATAAAGGTCCAAACACAATGCTGGAAATAGAGACATACAGTTACCAAGGCCACCCCAGCCTTTGTTAATGATACCCCTTTGTTTAGTTTTTTCCAATGCCTCCACAATTATTTGTGTCATTTTTTCTGGCTCTTGAACAGGCTGACATGGAAAAAAAGGTAAACATGCATAACATTTTACAATTAGAAGTGCCCAAAGTTGAATTCAAAAAGGCTTCACTAGAAAAATATTATACCTCATAAAAATAGAATAAATTAATAATGGAATATGTAAAAGAGAGAAAGAAACTCACAAGGCTGCCAAATCCAATATAAATAGGCTTTGGCCCCTCTTTAAGCCAGTTTACAAGTGTTTCAGGAGGTTCATAATTGGATGCAAGATCAAGGAAGCAAAATCCCACAACATCAACCTTAGGTCCCCAATCTACAAAGAGGAGAAATTTTGCCATTCTTTAATTTGAGATTCATGATTGCATTTTTAAGAAAGTGCATTTATCTTATACTTTAGCCTTTAAAGCAATGCCATTCTACTTTATTGCAAAGCATCTAAAAGAGATATCTATCAATTTACATATTTGTTAAACAAAACTATTATTAAATCAATGTAAAATCAAACAACCTTTTGGCTTAGGAACAAGGTTAGGACTCCATATATATCCATGTGGAACATCAGAATCAGAACCTTGGGAACCACTTAAGTATGTGATTGGTCGAAGCTTGAGGTTCTTCTTTCTAAAATCATTTATAATGTCACGTATTCCAAGCCAAATCAAGGAGTCAACTATTTGATATGAAAGCTGCAATATAACAGATGGTTAAACAATAAATTGAAGGCAATGAAAAGAACAATAAAGAGATTAAAAAGGATCAAATTCACTGGGCTCACTCGATATCCAGCTGGTTGCTTGACACGGGACAGAGGGTGTGGGAACTCGCTAGTTGGCCTGGAATGAACAGCATATGAATTGTATGGAGCAGTCTAAGATTTCACATTAAAAAGCATACAATAAAACAAGTAAACAACTGACACAGAAATCACAAAATTCCAATTACTAATTTTAGAGATGTTAGAGCAAATTAAATCAGCTAGATTACATTACCCAGGCAAGACTTACGTCCATGGCATTGTGAAAAATATATGCAATGGTACTTTTAGCGCCTCTGCCACATGGACATGCCCTAAAAAACATATGTGTAAGTCTTTTGGAAAAATGAATCAGAAAATATACATGAGTTGCACAGGTCTCTTTAAGAAACAA